CAAACACCCCCAAACACCCCCACAGGGTCTCCTGGGGGGACAAAAGGCAGAGTCGGGGGGATCCAACCCCCCCCCCAGGACACACCAAAACACACCCCAAAACACCCCCCAGGACAGCCTAAGCCCCTCCAGTGACCCCAACACACCCCCCCCAGGACACCCCAACCCCCAGGGGTGCAGGGCAGGGAGGGTCCCCGGGGGTTTGGGGTGCCCCGGCTGTGTCCCCACGCACCTGGCTGGCCTTGGTGCCCACGGTGGCCACGACGACCTCCGCGGCCGCGCCGCCCTCGCGGAGCCGCACGGCCTCTTCCAGGGCGATCTCGCAGAAGGGGTTCAGCGAGTGCTTCACCCCCTGCGTCTGCACCGACCCCCCCCCGGGGGCCACGCGCACCTGGGGGGGCACCGGTCACAGGGGAAGGGGGGTCGGGGGGGTCCGAACAGCCCCGCCCGGCCCCCCACGGGGGGTTCTGGGTGGTCCCGGAGGGTTCTGGGGGGTCCCGGGGGGTCCCGGGGGCCGGACCCGTCCCCGACCGAAAAGCAGGGCAGGGTTTGGGGGGTGGGCGCGTCCCAGGGAGACACCGGGGGGGTCTCAGGTGTCTCGGGGGGGAGGGAGGGGGGCGGCGTCCCGAGGGTTTGGGGGTCCCCAGGTAACCCCCCAGGTGTGACCCCTCCCCGCCATTCGGGTTCCGGGGGGTCTCGGGAGTCCCGGGGGAGTCCCGGGGGGGTCCCAGGGGAGGTTGGGGTGTTCTCGGAGGGGTCCGGGGGGGTCTCAGGTGCCCCCACCTTGACGGCGAAGTCGATGACCCGCTTCACACCCACGAGCACGCGCAGCGCCGCCATTGCTGAGGCCACGCCCACCCCGCCCGGGCCACGCCCACCCCGCCCGGGCCACGCCCCTTTCCCCACGAAGCCGCGCCCAATTCACGCCGCGAACGCCGTTCACGCTCCGCCCTCCGGCCACGCCCACTCCAAAAGGACACGCCCCTTCGACGTCGTTACGCATCGTGGGCGTGGCCATGGCGTCACGTGACAGGGGGTTCGGCGCTCTCCGGGGGGTTTTGGGGGGATTTTTGGGGGTTTTGGGACTCTCAGCCCGTTTTTGGGGGGTTTGGGACTCTTGGCCTGTTTTTGGGGGGGGTCTCCGCCCACCCGGAACCCCCCAGATCCCCGGACTCCCCCCGGACGCCTGTGGAGGGGTTCTGGGGGGTCCTGGGGGAGTTTTGGGGGATCTTCGGGGGTTTTGGGGGGTCCTGGGGAGTTTTTTTAGGGATCCCCCAAGATCCGGGTCAAACCTCCTCTGGAAACCTGTGGGGGGGTTTTGCTCCCTCCCCCCAAAGCCCGGGTCCCTTTAAGGGGGAACCTGGGACACCAGAGTCCCCCCCCAAAATTCTCGTGTCCCCTCCCCCCAGGACACCTTCCCCCCCCCAAAGTGAGAGCAAAGCACGATGGGAACCCAGAGACCCCCCCCCCGACCCCCCCAGCCCCCCAATAAGGGCGATAAAGGCGATAAATCCGCGTTAATTGTGATTAATCAATTAATCATTAACGAGGCAAAGCCCTGATAAGGCCCTACCTGATAAGGGGGGGGGATCAAGGGCGGCCCGAGGGCACCGGGGCTGGGGGGTCCCTCCCCTCCCAAAAAGGGATCCAGGTGTGTCCAGGTGTCCCAAAAAGGGGACCCAGGTGTCCCCTGCCCCCCAAAAATGGGGATCCAGGTTTGTCCAGGTATCCCAAAAAGGGACCCAGATGTGTCCAGGTGTCCCCTCCACCCAAAAAGGGGCTCAGGTGTGTCCAGGTGTCCCAAAAAAAACCCCAGACATGTCCAGGTGTCCCCTCCCCCCAAAAGGGGACCAGGTATCCCCTCCCCCCCGGCAGGGTCACCTTGGGGCGGTGCCCACGGGGGGTATAAGGGGAGGTGGGGACGGCACTGGGAGCACTGGGAGCCGCCATGGGGAAGGAGGTGAGTGGGGAGAGGGGCAGAGGGAGGGAGGGAGGAGGAGGAGGATGGAAGAGGATTGAGGAGAGATGGAGAGAGGGATGGAGGAGAGATGGAGAAGGGATGGAGGATTGAGGAGAGATGGAGAGCCAGAGAAAGGCTGGAGAGGGAAAGGAGGGAGGGAGGGAGGGAGGGAGGAGAGAGGGATGGAGAGAAGGATGGAGGGGGGAGGGATGGGGGAGGGACCCCCCGACCCCCTCCTTGACCCCCCTTGACCCCTTTCCCCCCCCAGAGTTTCGAGCTGGGGCCGCCGGCCCCGACCCCCAAAAAGGGCCGCGGGAAGAGGAGGGAGAAGGAGAAGCTGGAGGACATGAAGAAGGAGATGGATGTGGTGGGGGCACTGGGGGGCACTGGGAGGGACTGGGATGGTCAATGGGGGGCACTGAGAGGGACTGGGGGGCACTGGGAGGAGATGGGAGGGACTGGGAGGGACTGGGGTGGTCAGTGGGGGTCACTGGGAGGGACTGGGAGGGGATGAAAGAGACTGGGAGGGACTGGGATGGTCAATGGGGGGCACTGGGGGCAGTGGGCTGTACTGGGGGGCACTGGGGGGGTCACTGGGCTGTACTGGGGGGCACTGGGGGGGTCAGCTCTGAGCCGGGTGCCCACAGGATGATCACAAGCTCGACGTGAACGACCTGGAGATCAAGTACAGCACCAGCGTCACCAAGGTGACCCCTGACCCCACTGACCCCGATCCCACTGACCTCACTGACCACTGACCCCACCATTCACAGTGACCCCAATCAGCCCCACTGACCCCACTGACCCCACTGACCCCCCCGTCCCCCCAGGGCCTGTCGGAGGCCGTGGCGGCCGAGCGGCTGCTCCGGGACGGCCCCAACGAGCTTCGCCCCCCCCGCGGGACCCCCGAGTGTGTGAAGTTCGGGCGGCAGCTGGCAGGGGGGCTGCAGTGCCTCATGTGGGTGGCAGCGGCCATTTGCCTCATCGCCTACGGGGTCCAGGAGGGAGAGGGAGACCGCGGCTCCTCCGACAACGTACGGGCACCTGGGGGGCACCTGGGGGGCACCTGGGGCACCTGGGGGGCTGGGGGGCACCTGGGGGGCACCTGGGGGGAACCTGGGGAGCTGGGGGGCACCTGGGACACTTGGGGGGCACCTGGGGGGCTGGGGGGAACCTGGGGGGCACCTGGGGGGCTGGGGGGCACCTGGGACACTTGGGGGGCACCTGGGTCCACCTCAGAGGGCACACCTGGAAGCCGGGGCTGGGGGAACATGTGGGGGTTCTGGATGCCCAGGACCCCCCTGGACCCCGAGGACAGGGGTACCTGGGCCCCAGGCACTCACCTGTCCCCCCCC